CACACACACACACACACACACACACACACACACACACACACACACACACATATCGCTTTTAAAACCTATACACGTGAGTTTCCTTATTATTATTATAATTATATTATTTACATAGGAAATGGCTGCATTTCTCTTTTTAGCTCCTTTCTAAATAAATTAATATTTTTCTAATTAGGATAAAAATATGTCAAAAGTAAAGGAATAACGCAACGATTAGCGGACAATAATAGTGATTTTGTAAATTGGAAAGTGATGCTTTAATGTGATCGATTTGAAGGCAAGATCGATTCATCAGCGAGAATTAGAAAGTGAGAAAAATGTTGAGTAAGAATGACAGGAGTCGCAACGATTAATGAGCAAAGCTGAAAAGGCGTTCTTGAAAAAAAAAAAAAAACCGACGAATCTTCTTAATCTCCGTGCCGCGGAGAAGCTCCTGCGGTTTCTATTTCCACTCGTGCACGATGGAATCTCTTTTCACGGAACTTTCCATCGCAATTGTATTGTAGTTTATTTCTCGAGATAAATAAAGTTAAACGCGTCATCACTTCCTACTCAAACTGTTTTTCGTGAAAAGTGTGTGCTTATTTCGACGAAGCACACGTTACGTTATTAATATTGAATCATATTTAACGCGTTATTGCGCTGAATGAAAAATATACTAAACTGTAATAAATACTTGTTTGAATAGTATTAACTGAATATTTACTAAATGCAAACGTATATTTAATTGATACCATTAATTTAATTTATCTATCATTTTTTTTATTTAATAAATGTTCATTTACGTGTATAAGTAAATGTTAAATACTTAATTACTGTTCAAACAAATATTTGTGAAAGTTTTAGTACATTTTTTCCTCGGTATATTAACGCGGAATAAAGTAGAAATTTTGAGCGTTCTCTCTGAGATATTCGTACTCAGAACATATACAACTCCAGCAACCCTCCTTTGAGAAAAATAAAAAATTTAAAATAACCTTGTTTACCTAATTTATTGTTGATTATGTTAATAGTTGTTTTTCATACAAGCCCAGCATTCTTTGACATTATCAT